TCCTGGTTAGCTATTCCCTCTCTTATCTCTGGAATTTCTCCTTGCTCTTAGGTGAAGACCTCTTGGAATTTCTTATTCAGATCCTCACACACTTCCTTGTCGTTTGTAGTGAATCCTTCTGCCCCTATCCGTAATTTCATAACCTGTTCCTTTACTGTTGTTTTTCTCCTGATGTGGCTATGCAGCAATTTAGGCTGAGTCTTTGCCTTGCTTGTGATGTCATTTTCGTATTGTCTTTCTGCCTCTCTTCTCATCCTAACATATTCATTCCTGGCATTCTGGTATCTTTCTCTGCTCTCCAGTGTCCTGTTATTCCTATAAGTTCTCCATGCCCTTTTATTTTGCTGCTTAGCTAGCCTACATCTCTGATTAAACCATGGGTTTCTCATCTTCATTTCACTGTTTTCCTTTTGGACTGGGACAAACTTGTTTGCTGCGTCCTTGCATTTTTGCGTGATGTATTCCATCATATCTTGGGCCGTCTTTTCCCTGAGCTCTCTTTCCCATGCTATATCTGCTAGGCATTTTCTTATCTCCTCATAGTTTCCCTTTCGGTATGCTAACCTTTTGGTTTCGGTATCCCTCCTCGAGTTCAATAACCCTTCTTCAATCAGGTACTCAAACACCAATACACTGTGGTCGCTCATTCCTACTGGGTCCTCAAAACTGATTTCTCTTATGTCAGAGTCGTTCAGGGTGAAAACCAGGTCGAGTCTCGCTGGTTCGTCATTTCCTCTCATCCTTGTGGGTTCACTGACATGCTGGGTTAAGAAGTTTCTAGTCGCCACCTCCAGTAGTTTGGCTCTCCACGTATCCTCGCCTCCATGTGGTTCCTTGTTCTCCCAATCAATCCTGCCGTGATTGAAGTCCCCCATGATGAGCAGGTGGGATCTATTTCTACAGGCAGAAGAGGCTGCCCTCTCAATTATAGTGTTAACTGCCATGTTGTTGCTTTCGTACTCTTGACTGGGTCTTCTGTCATTTGGTGGAGGATTATATATTACTGCTACTACTATCCTTGGTCCTCCCATTGTCATGGTGCCTGCTATGTAGTCTCTGAAACCCTCACAGCCCGGGATAGCCATCTCCTTAAAATTCCATTCCTTTCTCATGAGTAGGGCCACTCCTCCTCCTCCCCTACCTTCCCTCTCTTTCCTTATTATTGTGTACTCCTGGGGAAACACAATGAATTCGTTATGATTCCAGAGAGTTTTGTTTCAGTGAGTCCAATTACATCTGGGTTCACTTCTTGAGCTCTTTCCCTTAGTTCACTTGTCTTGCTTGTGATCCCATCTATGTTCGAGTACATTGCCCTGAAACTGACTCTCTTCTGCTTCTCCTCTGGGGGGGACCTGTGGGGTCTGGGGTGAGCGGGAGCTGGGAGGATCTGGTATGGGGAGACTGGTGGAGGAGGAAGGGCTTGGGGGGGGTAGGGGGGAGGTGGAGGGTAGGGGGAGTGGGTGAGGGGGGGAGGGGGAGGGTAGGGGGAGTGGGTGAGGGGGGGAGGGTTGGGGGGGTGGGTGAGAGGGGGAGGGTTAGGGGGGGGTGGGGGGATGGGGGAGAAAGGGGGGTTTGGGGGGGCAATAAAGTGGGGAGGGCTTGGGGGGCGTGGGGGGAAAGGGAAGGCTGAGGTGGTTGAGGAAGAGGGGAGGGTTTTGGGGAGTGGTGGAGAGGGGAAGGCTTAGGTGGGGTGGGGGAGAGTGGGGAGCTTAGGGGGGTGGGGGAGAATGGAGGGCTTGTGGGTGGGAGGGACGGAAGGGCATGTGGGAGAAGGGAGGGCTTGGGGGATGGGGGAGAAGGGAGGTCCTGGGGGGAGAGGGGAGTGGGAGGAGGGGGGTGAGTGGGAGGAGAGGGGTGGGTGGGGGGAGGGTGCCTTAGGTGGGTACTTAGTGGGGGACTGACAGGGGTTGGGGCAGGTAGGGTGTCTGTTGGGTGGAATGAGGGGGTGGTGCCGCACTCCCTGTGGCTAATGCACTGTTTGAGGAGGGTTCCCCATTCCCCTCTGGGATTGTAGGGATCGGGGGTGTGGCTCCCTGATTCCTTTCTCTCTCCCTGCACTCCTTCCTCGTGTCTGCTGCTTGCCTTCTCTCTTCCCTTGTCATATCCCTGTGTGTGTGTGTGTGTGTGTGTGTGTGTGTGTGTGTGTGTGTGTGTGTGTGTGTGTGTGTGTGCGTGCGTGCGTGCGTGCGTGCGTGTGTGTGTGTTTTTTCGAGATTTTAGGGAACACAAATACTTGGAGCTATGCTCACCAAACTTTGCAGGGTGACTGGTATTTGTCCAGGGATGGTTGTAGGCGGATCGGATTGAGGCCTCTTGCCCCACAAAGTTTCCATAAGATGACAACTGACAATAATTTATGTGAAAGTGAGGAAGGTAGGTCAAGGTCCCTGTGAAAGTGAGGAAGGTAGGTCAAGGTCCCTGTGAAAGTGAGGAAGGTAGGTCAAGGTCCCTGTGAAAGTGAGGAAGGTAGGTCAAGGTCCCTGTGAAAGTGAGGAAGGTAGGTCAAGGTCCCTGTGAAAGTGAGGAAGGTAGGTCAAGGTCCCTGTGAAAGTGAGGAAGGTAGGTCAAGGTCCCTGTGAAAGTGAGGAAGGTAGGTCAAGGTCCTTGTGAAAGCCCTCGAGGACTTGTCATGGGATTAATGTGAGTATTAGGGCAAGAAAGTTACCAGTGGAGCTGGTGTGTTAAGACCAATATGGCCAGACTCAAGGTATAGTGTGCCGCTGCCTCACACATTCCTGCACGCCACCCTATTGACCATCCACTTCAACCATATATAATATATATATATATATATATATATATATATATATATATATATATATATATATATATATATATATATATATTGGTAGCAGTCTTTCTTGTAAACATATGTTGTTAAATATGACCGAAAAAGTAAGATTAATAATTCTAACACGAATTTTCTCAATATTTCTTATGTTTCTTTTTACTGTTGATGGTAATTGAAAAATCAATTCTCCAAAATTCATTTTAATTTCTAGTCTGACGCGACACTTGAACGCGTTTCGTAATAACTTATTACATTTTCAAAGACTTTAGTTTACACACACACAACTATAACCTGCAAACACTAAACAGAGTTTTACTATGCTAATATTTAAACAGCTTTTGTCTTATATACTCGCATTTGGGTGAGGTGATATGTTACAACAGTTTTGGATGAGGTGAACAAACTTTCAACACAAGACAGAACACGGTTCAATGGGTATAGATGAAAGGGAAGAATGGAAGTAACTGCAAAGGGCCTATTGGCCCATATTTCCTCTTGATGCTTCTATATTGGTACGGAGTCTTGAAGTGGGTAGAATATAGTTGTGCATTAATTGGCTGTTGATTGCTGGTGTTGACTTCTTGATGTGTAGTGCCTCGCAGATGTCAAGCCGCCTGCTATCGCTGTATCTATCGATGATTTCTGTGTTGTTTGTTAAGACTTCTCTGGTGATGGTCTGGTTGTGGGAAGAGATTATATGTTCCTTAATGGAGCCCTGTTGCTTATGCATTGTTAATCGCCTGGAAAGAGATGTTGTTGTCTTGCCTATATACTGAGTTCTTTGGGGCTTACAGTCCCCAAGTGGGCATTTAAAGGCATAGACGACGTTGGTCTCTTTTAAAGCGTTCTGCTTTGTGTCTGGAGAGTTTCTCATGAGTAGGCTGGCCGTTTTTTTGGTTTTATAGTAAATCGTCAATTGTATCTTCTGATTTTTGTCTGTAGGGATAACGTTCCTATTAACAATATCTTTCAGGACCCTTTCCTCCGTTTTATGAGCTGTGGAAAAGAAGTTCCTGTAAAATAGTCTAATAGGGGGTACAGGTGTTGTGTTAGTTGTCTCTTCAGAGGTTGCATGGCGTTTCACCTTCCTTTTTATGATGTCTTCAACGAAACCATTGGAGAAGCCGTTGTTGACTAGGACCTGCCTTACCCTACAGAGTTCTTCATCGACTTGCTTCCATCCTGAGCTGTGGCTGAGAGCACGGTCGACATAAGCGTTAACAACACTCCTCTTGTACCTGTCTGGGCAGTCACTGTTGGCATTGAGGCACATTCCTATGTTTGTTTCCTTAGTGTAGACTGCAGTGTGGAAACCTCCGCTCCTTTCCATGACTGTTACATCTAGAAAGGGCAGCTTCCCATCCTTCTCCATCTCGTAAGTGAAACGCAACACAGAATTCCGCTCGAATGCCTCCTTCAGCTCCTGCAGATGTCTGACATCAGGTACCTGTGAAAATATGTCGTCAACATACCTGCAGTATATGGCAGGCTTCAAATTCATGTCAACTAAGACCTTCTGTTTGATGGTGCCCATGTAGAAGTTCGCAAACAGGACACCTAGGGGAGAACCCAAGGCGACCCCATCTACTTGCTTATACATGTGCCTATCCGGGCTCAAGAAGGGTGCCTCTTTAGTACAAGCTTGTACTAAAGTGTATCAGTGTAGTAATACTTCCTTTATGATTCTATTTAAGGTGATGGGAAAGTGATCTGTGAATATATTGATAATTGATGAAGTGTCGTATTCCTTTCATCTCCCCCCATGTTATTTTACCTGCATTACCAAGCCTACTCCTTGAAAGCCACTACCGACTTGGGGTCGGATACTAGTACTTTGGTTCCTCCAGCAAAGAACCCGGTTGCGACCCATAATGGCCGTAACAGCTACAATCATCTTTTAACGGTGGTGTTGGTCGAGTGGTTAAGGTCTCCTGTACACCAGTTGCATAGTGCAACTGTATGTATACTAAGAGTTTACACTTGGGCTCAACAATATTCACGGGATAAAGTATACATATTGGTTGGTGACTACACTATTGTGGCAGCCTTAATAACCCTCCGCGGGTTGATACGCCTTAACCCCAACACCAAACTCCACCCTCAACACTATCATCAATTGTACATTTAATCCTAATTGTCTTGTTGTCTGATTGTCTAATTTAATAGTTAATTGTGTAGAGCCTGTGCTTACCTCATGCCCATCTTTCAGACATGGGGATGGGGACGTTGGTGAGCACGTACCCTCGGGGCATCGAGGACCGTGATGGGGGCATGGTGGTGTCCGTGAGCATGTCGGAGCCCCTGGCGGGGCCCCCCATGCAGGCCTGGGCCCCGGACTCCTCCACCGTGGCCAAGATACAGCGCTGGCTGCCCCAGCAGGAGCACCACCACTATCACCCGGGGCCCGCCACAACTGCTTCCTTCCCCAAGGTAACACAACTCTTTCTCATTTTTCCCAACTTGAGGAGTTCTTGCTATTTTTTCTTGTTGTTAAAACATGAATCGTTCATGTTTTTTGGGGTTGCAAAATTTGTAAGTCAATAAACGGTTATATAAATACAAATAAAGACGCAATAATTGAATAAAGATGTACAGGTTTCGTAAGTGAACACGTAAGTCCTTGATGAATACTAATCAAGAATAATATGTATTACAATGTAGCGATACTGATTCAATTGACCTAGCAACCCTGTCACCCAGCGGCTCTGCGACCCAATCACCCCCCCCCCCTCCACCCTTCCCTGCAATTCCCTACATGCAAATATGCATCACTGCGATCCTGAGACTGTAAACCTGTGATCCGGCAACTGTGTGACCATGTTACTGTTTCACTGTGGCTGTCTGACCATGTTACTGTATGACTGTAACTGTGACCATGTTACTGTGTGACCATGTTACTGTATGACTGTAACTGTGTGACCATGTTACTGTGTGACCATGTTACTGTATGACTGTAACTGTGCGACCATGTTACTGTGTGACCATGCTACTGTATGACTGTAACTGTGTGACCATGTTACTGTGTGACCATGTTACTGTATGACTGTAACTGTGTGACCATGTTACTGTGTGACCATGTTACTGTATGACTGTAACTGTGTGACCATGTTACTGTGTGACCATGTTACTGTATGACTGTAACTGTGTGACCATGTTACTGTGTGACCATGTTACTGTATGACTGTAACTGTGTGACCATGTTACTGTGTGACCATGTTACTGTGTGACCATGTTACTGTAACTGTGTTACTGTATGACTGTAATTGTGTGACCATGTTACTGTAACTGTGTTACTGTTTTACTGTAACTGTGTGACTCTGAGTGTGTGACCCCTACAACTCTGTGACCGAGTGTGTGACCCCTACAACCCTGTGACTGAGTGTGTGACCCCTACAACCCTGTGACTGAGTGTGTGACCCCTACAACCCTGTGACTGAGTGTGTGACCCCTACAACCCTGTGACTGAGTGTGTGACCCCTACAACCCTGTGACTGAGTGTGTGACCCCTACAACCCTGTGACTGAGTGTGTGACCCCTACAACCCTGTGACTGAGTGTGTGACCCCTACAACCCTGTGACTGAGTGTGTGACCCCTACAACCCTGTGACTGAGTGTGTGACCCCTACAACCCTGTGACTGAGTGTGTGACCCCTACAACCCTGTGACTGAGTGTGTGACCCCTACAACCCTGTGACTGAGTGTGTGACCCCTACAACCCTGTGACTGAGTGTGTGACCCCTACAACCCTGTGACTGAGTGTGTGACCCCTACAACCCTGTGACTGAGTGTGTGACCCCTACAACTCTGACACTTTACATCTGTGAACCTGTAACCCTGTCAACCACTGACCCTATAACCCTGTGACCCGGAAACTGTACAGTGTGTCGCGAGCTGTGTGATACTACTAAACCTTCTTGTGCAGGATGGTCAGTCATACAGGATGAGGTGAAGGGCAGGCAAACTTTTAGTGTATTATGAGCATCTCCGTTTTGTGTGCTGAATAATCATCCAGAGTCAGCCCTTGACCCAGTCCAAAGACGACTTTTTTTTTTATTAATACATTAGGTACATGTGCATTTGTGCAGCTACCCTAGACTATATGAAGGGGACCAGTTCCTTGTATGTGATCTTATATGTATGTGTTCCTTAATAATATGTGATCTTATATGTATGTGTTCCTTGTATGTGAATTAGATCTAGGTATCCCCTTCTATGTTGTCAAAACTGTGTTGATCCAAACACTCAGGTCTGATAGGAAATAAATTACTGACTCCCAACGACCTGAAAGTACTAGTATAAAAAGCTATGATTTGTTCAGATCTGAAACCTATATCTATGGGCAGCACAAAGCGTCCACCCGACTGTGCGACACAGTAGTTGCCAGGATCAGGTTGGGTTACCGTATGACTGTATGATCCCATTACCGTTACCTTTGGCAGGTGGCTGCAGGTGACGGATCGCCCAATCCTGAGCACTCTAGTTGCAATCTCTGTGAGCAGGAACTGCGGCATGATCTCCCACACATCACCGAATGCCCAGTTATTAGACCTTTCAGACCAGTTGGCATGAGGTACCTGGAGCTTTGCAATTACTTTATTCACTCTCGTATTCTTGAAGATATCCTCACAGTGTACCCAAAATTTGTCAGTGCAGGCTACTAAACATATGGCCCTGTATGACTAATCATCCTGCGAGATGGGGACTTTTATTACCACTGCTGCCTTATTCACTCTTGTGTTGATGTTATCCTCAAAATGCATCCGGAGTCTGCCAGTGCAGACTGCCTATTACGAGCCTCTGTATGACTAACCATCCTGTGTGATGGGGATTTTTTAGCATCACATAGTTTTTTTGGTGAAACTAGGTGAAACTTTCACCTAGTTTTTCATTTTTTTTGACACACTGTACTCCACTTCATATAGTCTGGGTAGCTGCACTAATGCAGATGTACCTCATGTATTGATAAAAAAAAATTGTATGTGATAATCTCTATGGATATATAACTCCACATTTAACTTACTCTGCCGACGGTCGATGTTGTCCCAATGGCGGCACGCCGTGACTCTGATATTCTCATTTCATGTCTGAAAACGTGGCAAGATAAATTTAATAATGCTATCGGTGCTTCTGTTATAATAAAGATATTAGCAGATCAGCTATATCACAGAGCTTCGTCGTATTTATGGGGAGCACAAAACGTGGACCAGACTGTGCGAAACAGTGGTTGCCAGGATCAGGTTGGGTTACCGTTAACTGTGGCAGGTGGCTACAGGTGACGGGTCTCCCAATCCTGAACACTCCTGGTGCAAACTCTGTAATGAGCCACTGAGTCGTGGCTTCACACATTACATTACTGAATTACTGAGGTTAAGAATTGCATAAGTTAAATAAATGCGAAAATAAATCGGTTACAATCATATAAAAACAGTAAGTAATGTCTGGATATCATATAAGCGGTAATACATTACAAGCTGTACGAAGGAGGCCGAGGGTATTGTTGAGAGATATCATTAGAGCGACCATTATGAGGGTATAGTGCAGTGATGCTTCCCATGGTGCCACCACCATAACTATCACCACTACCATCATCATCAACACTACCACCACCATCACTATCACCACTACCATCATCATCATCACTACCACCACCATCATCATCATCACTACCACCACCATCACTACCACCACCATCACTACCACCACCATCACTACCACCACCATCACTACCACCACCATCATCATCATCATTACCACCACCACCATACCCATCGTGTGGATGGTAGTGGATCCCATACCCGTCATGTGGATGGTAGTGGATCCCGTACCCGTCACGTGGATGGTAGTGGATCCCGTACCCGTCACGTGGATGGTAGTGGATCCCGTACCCATCACTTGGTTGGTAGTGGATCCCGTACCCGTCACGTGGATGGTAGTGGATCCCGTATCCGTCACGTGGATGGTAGTGGATCCCATACCCGTCATGTGGATGGTAGTGGATCCCGTACCCGTCACGTGGATGGTAGTGGATCCCATACCCGTCATGTGGATGGTAGTGGATCCCGTACCCGTCACGTGGATGGTAGTGGATCCCGTACCCGTCACGTGGATGGTAGTGGATCCCGTACCCATCACTTGGTTGGTAGTGGATCCCGTACCCGTCACGTGGATGGTAGTGGATCCCGTACCCGTCACGTGGATGGTAGTGGATCCCGTACCCGTCACGTGGATGGTAGTGGATCCCGTACCCGTCACGTGGATGGTAGTGGATCCCGTACCCGTCACGTGGATGGTAGTGGATCCCGTACCCGTCACGTGGATGGTAGTGGATCCCATACCCGTCATGTGGATGGTAAATCCCATTCCTATCATATGGATGGAATCCACGGGAAATGGACTCTGTTACCATGATTAATATTGTTTGTGTATGTGCGTCTATCTTCAGACACGCGCATGTTACACTTGTGTCTGAAAGAGTTGAGCGCAATGAAGAATAAGTCACAATTAATGTATCATGTTTGGAGACTTGTACACATACCACTGCAAGAAGCAAGACAAATAGTTCGGTGTGAAGGGTAGAGGCCCAGTTGTTTAGACGGACTCCCCACTCAAACATATAAGTCATCACCCATTGTCAGGACAACTGCACTTCCAGCAGCACCCGTGGGGCGGTGAAGGGAACCATCACTGTCTATGGTCTGAGATAGAGACTGCTCTATGGACAGGGCATCAGTATGGCTTAAGGTGTTGAGCGCTGCCTCAAGACGAAGCTTGGGCTGATCATCGATATCCTCAGAAATGGGAATATTAATATTTGTGGTGTTCTGTGTTGCTGTGGATGGCCTTGGTTGTCGGGTTGATATAAAGCCATTGCTTGGTTTCTGACTTTAATACAATGTTGAAAAGAATAATCTCCCACAATTCAGGAAACTGTCATCGTTGCCTCTCTTGGTATAAGTGTGAACATCATAGATTGTTTTAGTAATCCATTTTGAACAATGTTCATCTTCATTAAAGATTGTATCGAAGGCTTTTGTGTATTAGTTAAGGTGAACTGCCTAGGCGTGCTTCTATAAGGAAAGCTCCTCCCTACACGTGTAGAACATTGATGCGTATAGTCCCTCCTAAACATAAGCCCGTTTTCTTAAACTTCAAGGCTAAAATATCCGTTTTCTTTAATCTTAAACTGTTGCCATTATATATGGTATACTGACATAATCTGCAGGTCTTCTCATCCTTCCCTCATTATGCTGGGCACGGTATGGTTTCCTATGATCGGGATAGAAAACCTGTTAGGATTATAGAGGTCCGAGTAGGCAAAAGCACGACCTATAAGCCATCATATGTGTCCTGATAATTAATGTCGGAACATTTCGGGCACAACAAAATTGTCAGAATGTTAAGGGCCCTCAGGTAAAAAAAAAATATCTGAG